GTTGATGGGAAGTTATAAGTGGGGTTAACAGGAGGGTAACTAACTTATAACTTATAACCCATATTAGGGGACTTATAACTCCACTTATATCTCCCCGTGAACGTACAAGCCCTGAAACACTGAGTCGACCGTCGTGTTCCACTGAGGCTGCGGCTCGACACCAGAAAGTGGCATCCGAAACTCCTGTTTGGGGCTCGGAGTGTTGTGTACCAGGTACGAGGACGGCGTACGTGCACTGTCTACCAAGAAAGCCTTCAGCCCAACGCGCGGGGGGTCTCGATTAAGAACCCAAGCTCTACAGATGCATCTCAAAGTCTCGCCGGTTTTCCTGGAACAGCTCTGCAGTTGCTTTGTTCCTGCCACCCAAACAGGTTTGAGGGGTATATGGGAGTTTCCGAAAGTAGGGGTACCTTATTTTGGGGTCCCCTATTTTCGGAAACTCCCATATCGTTGTATGTATAATCATGCGGAGCCCTGAGGGTAATTGCTATTGGGACAAGGCCCAAGGTTCAGTAGACCTTTCTGCCGGCCAGGGTATTGGCGTTGCTGCCTAGACTGAGGACTACGGCCTTGTACGCAGAGTGAGCTCCAAGCAAAAAGCCCTAAACCAGAAGCCTCCGTCAAGCCAAAATCCTTAACCGACCCGATTCGGAGGTACATGGGTGGATATAAGTAGGGTAGCTGTAGTTCTAACCGATATTATGTATGACCCCACTTATAACTACCCAAGAACCTCCTACAAGTAGTATGCCCTCAACCTTGCCTGACGACTCTCTTGCCAGACGTCGTCAATTCGCCACCGTCGGCAAAGAAGGCGCACGGTGTAGCCTCGAGGCAGTCAGGATCAGGTCCCTCCTTCATTGGAGGATCATGGGACTTAGGTTCTAAACAGCTCAATTAGGGTTATAAGTACCTATAAAAATTGTCCTCCCTACTTGGAGGATCATAGGACTTAGGTTACAAACACCTTGATCAGGGTTATAATAAGTACCTATCAGTATAGCTACCCTGCTTATAACCTCACTTACCCTGACCCTCGTCGCGAAGCACTCCCGGACATGATCTCAGTTCCAGCTTGCTCGTGGCCCCCAGGAGCCGAATACCCCCCCAAGGAATAGTTCGGGATTTTGGCATTAAGCTTTAAGGAGACATGTAGGAGCCTTAATAATTAGAATAGGGTTTTGGGGTATATTATACCATAGTAAACGTAAGGAGCCCGCAACATAGTGTAGGTAATTAAGAAGGCCCCTATATTAAGGTACCGAGCCTCCTAGTTGACAGAGAGCCCAACGAGGAAGAACTGAAATTGTGGAGGTATCCCTACTTGGAGGGTCGGGGGACTTAGTAAGTAGGTAGTAAGTAGACTTATAAGTACCCTAAAAGGGACCCTAATTGGGGTTATGGTACTTAGAAGTCCCTAAAATAACCAGTTACTAACTCCCCCGACCCTCCAAGTAACCTAACCACAGGTATATCATTCCTTGGCCATGGGTTTACGGCTTAGGGCTTAGGGTTCAGGTATCCTTGGGAGATCGGTTGTGCAAACCCACACCAGGTGGTCAAAGAACTGTAGCGAGCGGAATCGGAACATTGCACCGAAAAAGTACACTGGTACCCATTTAGAAAACCCTTGTGCCTTATGATAGATCCCTTTCAGGAACCCTACCCAAGACCCCCCAGGCTTGGCACCGGACTTTGTCCCGGCACCAACTGCCGCAAGGAACAGGACAAGGTATCGGCCTCCACAGGGGGAGCTTAGGGGTTGCCGGAATCCCCTAAAACCTTAACCCTAAACCCTACTGGGTTCAGGGTCTAAGGTTTTAGGGTTTAGGGAAGTTTTGTGGTCCTTAATAGTGGCTGTTTGGGGTACAATAGAGGATAGTTGGCTGGCCTGGGTCCGGGTTCCGCTTAGTGTTCAGGGCTAAACGGTTGGATGTTTGAGGCTGCTCGGAAATGAGACCTACTGTTTTAATTCACGGCGGTTCTTAATATTCGGAGTCCGAAGAGCGCTGCAGATCTTACTATTTCGAACCGGCTCGATATTAGTGTCCTCCCCTGAACCCAAAAGCCCTGAATCTTAAACTATCGAAGTGTGGTTTGAATTCGCAAAATTGAAAAGATAAGGGGAACAAACACAAGGGCCTAAACGCCAATCCTTCAACCCGAAAACAAAACCCGTACCAGGACTGTTCAAGATCCCTTTTATAAAGCCCTTGTGGCCCGTTATGGTGGCTAGTTGGAGCAAAATAAAAGGGTAGTTGGGGGGTTGGGGGGGATCTAGGTAAACCCTAAACGTTAACTGCAGCCCTTTGTCCTTCTTTCAGCCACTTGAAAGGTTCTACACCATGCCTCTTGGTTTCTGAAACCTAGAAGGAGCAGCCCTAAAACCCTGCCCTAAACCTTAAACCCTAAACCCTACTAAACCCCTTCAACCCAAAACCCTAAGCCCAAAACCCTGACCCAGAGGGTCCAAGTACCCAAATAGTAGGGTTTTAGGTCCCAAAATCCATACTCCGAATGGTTTCTGGACCTTGAAATCCTCCTATTTGGGTACTTGGACCCTTAGGGTAAACCCAAAACCCAAAGCTCGGGATCCGAATCTCCCGATTTTTTCTCAGCAGCCGCAGCGAGCGCAGCATGGCAGCACTTCCAGGAGCGCGCTGGTTCGGAAGCAGACCTCTTAAGGGTTTAGGGCTGTTTAGGGTATAGGGCTCCTTTAAGGGTTTGTTTAGGGGTTTTCTGAAAGGCTTCTTTACGGGTGCTTTGTGGGCTTTCATAAGGATCCTTTCATTTGCTCAATGCTTGTAAAAACTGCTTGAAAAGGGTTTATGAAATTGCATAGGGATTGAACGAGGATCTGATAGCGATTTACTTCAGGGCTCCTCTAAACCCTAAACCCCAAACTGCCCTAAACCCTAAACTGCCCTAGACCCTAAACCCAAACCACTAAACCCCTATAAAGCCTAATCCCAACATACCCCAACGCTGGCACAAACCCTTCGAAGCTTACCGAACCCAGACCTTCCAAAATCCCTTAATTAAGGAATATACCTTAAATCATATTAGCGATCCTACTATAACTTAAGGTATATTCCTTTGGGAAGCTCAGGGTTCGGAAGCTCGGATGCAGACCTTGTGTCGCGCAGCCGACTGAGCCACGGCCAGGAGTCCTGCCTCCGAGTTTTCCAAGGTTTCGGGGTTTTGGAAAGAAGGGACAATGTAATAGGGACGAACAGGGACCCAGTCCTTTGGGTTTATGTTTTATAGGGTTTAGGAGTTTACCCTAAGGGTCCATGTATCCATATGAGAATACTTTGACCCCAAAGTACCTATATAGGGACTACATTGGGCCTCTGTACATACTATAGGAGAACATGGACCCTCAGGGGTAGAGGGGATTAGAAGGGGTCCTTCGAAGGGATCTATACTATAAAAGTACTGAAAGGGTTTCGGGGTTTCCTGTTTGGGGGGTTTCGGGGTTTGGGGTTTAGAGGTTACGGTTTGGAGGCATGTCCCTTTTGAGGTTTCACTTACAACTCTCTTGCCCTTCAAGGGCTTCTAGAAAAGTGATGGAGTTCAGGAATGTCTAAAGACTGTCTAAAGCTTCCCTTCAGGGTGTCCGCTTCGGGTGCCCAAAGCCATAAATCAGGACTACTTGGACCCTAGGGTTCCTTTCCCTCGAGTCCCTGTGGCTCTTCACGACTTTAGGGGTTTAGGCTGTATGGAAGAGTGGATGTCCATGGTAGGATAGTCTCAAAAAATGTGTGTGTGTGTGTGTGTATGTGTGTGTGTGTGTGTTTGTTCCGTCTTAGGTTTGCGTATCCATAAAAATCAAAAATGTTGCCCGACTGCCATAAACCCTGAACCCTAAACCCTAAATAGTGCTGGGGGCATAGCCAGGCCTCCGTGCAGGCGGCCTTGCCGAGGGTGAGCTGCTTCAGTGAATTCAGAGAGCCTATGCTGTTGAGTATCCCACTGGGAAAGGAGCATAGACCCTAAAACACCAAAATCCGTAAACTGGGAACAAAATATCCAAATCCTATAAATTTTCAAGCCCCAAACCCCTTGTACCCTAAAACCCCAAAAAAAAACTGTTGGAGGGGTAGCTGTGCTGAAATGTTGTAACACCCATGGTAGTTCCTTTTGGGGGATATAATATTTAGAATTCTATAAAGGTAGTCCGAAAAAGGAACTAACTACTAATGCAGGAGCCTGATTAAGAAACCCTGGGTCTATACCCCAAAATAGTAGGATTCTTATAAGGAGCCCTAATAAAGGCCCAAGGTTTCTTGATCAGGTTCCTACATTATTATAGTACCCCTATAGATCCCTGAAAGTATCCCTATAGATCCCTTATAGTACCCTTATAGATCCTTTATAGTAACCATTATAGACCCCTTGATTAAAGGTCAACCGTAGGGGGCCTATGGGTAGACACCCAGGAGCTGACGAGCTTGCAGAGGCTCTGGGTGAAGCGATCTGCCAGTAAGCAGTCATCCGCGTCCTCAAGCCTGGGTAGCCATTCTTGGGATAGGATTTAGGGTTAAGTTTGTATTCCGTATGGTGTTGGGATAGGATTAAGAAAACCTTGCTGCGTTTTAGTATAACTAGGATACTTGGAGGTTCATGGGTAGTTAGAACTAGGGCTATAAGTCCCCTAATATGGTCTTCAAGCTTATAGTTCATTGTTGGGATAAGCTTTAGGGTTAAGTTTGTATTCCGTATGGGCTTTAAGCTTAAGTTTGAATTCCGTATGGGGGTTGAAGTTTAAGTTTGCATTCCGTATGGAGTTTAAGTATAACCCAGAAAAAGGTAAACTGCTGCTGCAATAACTATGACAAAGAAGCATAGGATAGAGCTGAAAGTCCAATGCCAGCGACTGCAGCTGCGATAAGTTCAGGTCTGAAAGAAACTGCAGCATCTGCTCGCTTGTCACACTATCTGAATGAAGAACACAAAGAGTCAATCCTGCGACGGCATCTCTGGCCACTTGCTGCGCCAACGCAGCTAGGGAGGCACTGTTGGAGAGGTGGTGCAGGGAAAGCATGCAGCAGTTCTCTGGCCAAGTCATCTGTGGGACGATACGAGACAGCAGGTCTGATGCAGGCGGAGAAACAGCCTGAAGGGACAGATGACGGAGAGGATAAGCCTTCAGGCATTGCTGTAAGGAAGCTCTGAAGGCCTCCGGCACCTGAGTTCCCATAGGCTATCCCTAAGGCTCTAAGGACTCATATTTTGAGGCTTTTCAGCCCAAAGACCATACTATGTAAGGCTTTTGGGCTATTTTGAGCCTTAGGCTATAGGTAGTCATCTTCGGGTAGCTTGTTACTTCGAAAACATTCGTCAGAATGTTGGGCTTTGGCTCTTTCGCGCTGGTATAAAGCATGCTGAAAGCAAGGCCGGCAAAACAGTCCGAGATACAAACACCTAAAGTCCTAAGCCCTTAACTGGGAAAGGTGCCAAGCGCTGAATTGCAACTGAGCTTCGGTGTTCGGTGCGAAGTGAACATCGAAACTAAGGCTCTGCAAGGCTTGCAGGCAGGAAGAGTGCGAAGCAAGGGAGTCCAATATCATGGTTCCGCTGGGATCGGCGGTGCTGTTGAGGGCCAGGTGCAGCCTTCGCAATTTTCTCAATGCAGGTAGCACTTTCACCTCAGCGTCTCTTTTTGAACTGCTGGAAAAGGATTCATTCAAACGCGTTCCTGATGGCCCTATATAAGCTGTTCACCGACTCTAAAATGTAATATTTGTAACACGTGCAATTGAACACTAACCATGGTGAGGGTCCTATCACAAAAGCAACAAAGGCAACCAAATAAGGAACACGGCTGACTTGGGACCGTAGACCTTATTTCCCCAAGCCGACGCTACTAAACTCACATCTTAAGCGCTAGCCGCTAAAACCCTGCAGTGCGTCTTAAACCCCAGAACCCGCGAGTGTAACACAGCCGAAAAGCTCCACACGAAACGATCTCCGGACGCCTAGATACCTACATAATGCGTTACGAGGACATCCTTACCCTAACGGTCCGTGTACCTTGGGCCCAATGTACCTAGAAAGGGAGTACTTTAAATGTTTCTTCCAAGCCAAAGTAATTTGGGGTCCTAAACCCTACACCCTTGTGGAACCACTAAACGGAACCCTTAAAGGAACCCTATTTGGGCACATGGACCCTTAAGGTTACAGAGACAACGGTAACTGTTCGACGGCACACGAAAAGCCGGGGCAGGTCCTAGTTTTGCTGTTCTGGCCGTTGTCTGGATGTTAGCGGGGGGTTCCGAACATTGGGGCTCCTTTAAAGCGATCTATAAGGGTTCTTTTAAGCGTTCCTACAAGGGATCTATAGGGTTTGGAGTTTCCGAATATTAGAGGTCCTTTACAGGGATCTATAAGGATACCTTTCAGGGTTGCTATAAGGGATCTATAGGGTTTAGGGTTTGGGACTTTCCGACAATAAGAGGTACCTTATTTTCGGGTTCTACCATTCTGGGTACTATGTTAGGTCCCCTCTTTTCGGATACCCCCATATGCTTCCGCTTATCCAGCATCGTGACCTAAACACAGAGCACTACTACAGACTAAAAGGTGTCGTGCCAAAGCTGAAGAACCTGTGCCAAGACATTGCAAAGCTAAGACCCAAACGTACACCCTGAAACCCATCGGCACCCAGGTTACTTACACAGCTGCCAAGAATACTGTAGAACGACCTGGGTAGTTAGATTCCCTTACCGTGAAGTTAT